TTTTTTTTTTTAAATCAAACTGCTTTTTTATAAGTAATAGCTAAGGCATTTCCTTATTTTATTAATCAAAGCCAGATATAAGTACCAATTAGGGCCTCCAATCAGTATGAGATACATAATTCACTCATGTATTCAACAAATAATTATCGAGCACCTACTCATACCTATCTTTCTTCTGGGGCATACAAAGAGATACAAGATGAACAAAGTAATCAAAGTTTCTGCCCTGGGTACTTATAATCTAGAGACCATTGATGAAGTCAAATAGAGTTGATACAATTGTTGGATGAGACTTTATTTATTTCTCTTTCTTTATTTCTCTGACTTCTGTGACTCTAGTGATGAATCAGATAGCCCTTTTATTTGTTTACCTGGGCTGCCCTAACAAAATGCCACAGTCTGGGTGGTTTAAACAATAGAAACTTGTTTTCTTACATTTCTGGAGGCTGGAAGTCTAGGATGAAGATGTCGGCAGGGGGACTTCTCCTGCGGCCTCTCTCCTTGGCTTGCAGACGGCTGCCTTCTCCCTGTGTCCTCACGAGGTCACTGCCCCTCTGTGTGTGTTTCTGTTCTAATCTCCTCTTCTTCTAATGACACCAGTCTATTGGCCTAGGGCCCACCCCCATTTAACCTTAATTACTTCTGTAAAGACCCTATCTCCAAATATAGTCACATTCTGAGGTGTTGGGGTTGAGCCTTCAACATAGGGATTTGAAGGGGACACAGAAAAATGACAGACCAGAGGGACACACTCAAGCTATTGGGTGATTATGGTAATGACAGGCGCAGAGAGAGGGTGAATCCAGGAGGTGAGGCCACACCTGTGTCGCACAGGGTGGGCTAGCTGGTGCTTCCTGGAGGGATGAGACAGAGATTGCGGGGTAAAGCGGGAAGAGAGAAAGAGAATGCAGGGGAGACGGAGAGGAGGAGACCAGGGACTGGGCTGCAGCAAAGACCCAAAATCCGAGGAATGTGAAGCCGCTCATGGTGATGGAGCCAGATGTCCCTGGGAGAAGCAGCTGGCTTCAGAGAAATGACAGGGAATGAGGCTATGAGGCCAGTAGGATCTCAGGTCTCAAAGGGCCTTGTACTTTGGGTCAAGAAGCTTGGATTTTATTTAGAAGACAACGGGGAGCCCTTGAAGGGTTACGAGCAGAGAAGTCTTGGCTGCAGTCCTAAAGGTGTGCTGGGGGCTGGGAGTTGAGTGAGGGGCCATCACAATGGTCTGAGCAAGGTGGGTAGCTTTGGGTAGTGGCCATGGGATTTGAGGGAAGTGACCAAATTGTCAAACTTTCAAGATATAATGGGGATAGGATATGATGGTGGCTGACAGGATGTGGAGCAAGAAAGAGGGGGATGAGTCAAAAATGACGCTGAGATTTCTAGTCCAGGCAAGTGGTTGGAAGAAGGGACTATCAGGAGAGCGAGGGAGCTGAGGAGAGTGGGTATGGGGAGAAGAGATGAGTTTGGAGTACTTGATCCCACCTAGATGGAGGTATCCAGGTGGCACATGGTCTGGAGCTCAAAGAGTAGTCTGGAGACAGAGACCTGGAAAGCATTGGCCATGAGATGGGGGACTTAAAAAAGAGGTGGAGAGTGGACCCAAAGGAGCCCCTTCTCAGGACATTTAGAAGAAGAATAAATTGTCAAAGAAGATTGAGAAGAACAGCCAGAGAGGGAGGTAGGCACCCAGGAGAGGACTGTGCCTTGAATCCCAGGAAGAGCTTCCAAGAAGGACGTTTTGGCCGACAGGTTCTCCTGGGTGTGCCTGTTGGGTTTATCCCTGAGGAGGGAACTGGTGTGTGGGTGGGAGCAGAGAGAACAGCAGGAACGGGCAGAGGCCAGACTCTGTTTTGAGGAGTGAACAGAAGAAAGCAGGTAGCTAAGAGGTGTGGACAGATCTTTGAAGAAATCGGGTTGTGAAGGGGAGGAGAAAGGTGGGTGGTGGGAAGAGAAAGTGGGTTCCAGGGTGAAAGTTTAGATGCCCATAGGAAAGAGTCAGGTGTGGGGAGGGGACTGACGCTCAAAGTCAGTTGACTCAAAGCCAACTCTGGCATTTTGGTTAGCCTGGGGAGTCACATGGAGGCTAAATGTAGAGTCATTCATTCATTCATCCATCACTCATTCAACATCATGTGCCAGGCACTGTTCAAGGCCCTGGGAAACATTAACAAAAATCGCAGACCAAAATCCCATTCCTCACGCAGCTTACCTCTTAGACTGGGAAGCCGACAGTAAGTGTAAGGAATAAGTAACAAATCCTCTAGATGAGGAGGTGACATGTGCTATGGGAAAGAATGAAAAAGATCGAGCGGGGTATGAGTGACAAGGTGTGTAGCTTGCAGAATTAAACAGGGTGATTGGAGGTCAGGCGCAGTGGCTCATGCACTCCAGGGGGCTGACACAGGTGGATTGCCTGAGCTCAGGAGTTCGAGACTAGCCTGAGCAAGATTGAGACCCTGTCTCTATTAAAAATAGAAAAACTAGCCAGGTGTTGTGGCAGGCACTGTAGTCCCACCTACCTGGGAGGCTGAGGCAGGAGGATTGCTTGAGCCCAGGAGTTTGAGGTTAGTATGAGCTACGGTGATGCCATGATGCTACTCAGGGCAACAGAATGAGATTCTGTCCCAAAAACAAACAAACAAATAAATAAACAAAAAACAACAAAAACCCAGGGCGGTCAGAGTGGGTTTTGTGGAGAGAATGGTTCCTAAGCAGAGACTGGAAGAGGTGAGCCTTGCAGAGCTCTGGAAGGAACATGGTTCTTGGAAAAAGCACATCTGGACAAGGGTCCTAGTAGGGGCTGCCTGGAGTATTGGAGGGTCAGCAGGAAGCCCAGTGTGGCCCGGCTGAGAGCAGTGAGACAAGAGGGAGATTTTTTTTTTTTTGCAGGGGGGAGGGAGTTACGTGGAGGCCACTATTGGCCTTGGCCACTCTCAGGGGATGAAGTGGGGCTGTCCTGGGATTTTGAGCAGAAGAAAGAGGTGCTCTGACTTTTGGCTCAAAGGATCCCTTGCCTGCTCTGGGGATGGCAGACTAAGTAGGGTGCATTGTTGCCCTGTGGCTGCTGTCACAAAATATCACAAATTGAGTGGCTTAAAACAACAGAAATGGGTTATCTCAGGCTCCTGAAATCGAGGTATCAGGGGGTTGGTTCCTTCTTGGAGCTCAAGGGAACATTCTGTCCCACACGGCAGTCCTAGCTTTTGGTGGTTGCCAGCAGTTGTCAGTGTTCCCTGGTTTGGGGTGGCGTCACTCCCATTTTTGCCTCTGTTGTTCCATGGTCTTCTCCCTGTGTGTGCCTGTGTGTTCAACTTTCTCTCTTACAAGGACACTGGTCATTGGATTAGGGCCCATCGTAGTCCAGTATGACCTCAGCTTAACTTAAGTGCATCTGTGGATAGGTCACGTTCTCAGGTTCTGAGTGGATGTGGATTTGGGGGAAGGATGATATTCAACCCGGTAGAGAAAGCAAGTGTCGGAGCAGGGAGACATTTCAGCAGCCTGTTGCTATGCAATCTTTTTTAAGCTTCTAGACCAGTGGTTCTCAACCTGTGGGTCACGACCCACAGGAACTGTATTAAAGGGCTGCAGCATTAGGGAGGTTGAGAACCACAGTTCTAGACACACTGAAACCACCTTGTGGAATCCCTTTCTTCTTTTTAAAAACCATCCTTGAGGGCCCCCAGGAGTGAGGGTTCCCTGGCTGCAAACCACAGATCTGAGGGTCATAAGGTGTTTGCCCCTCCCCCATACTGGATGGGTGGGATCGGGCTCAGGGGCAGGAGGTGAGTCTGGGGTTCATGGGCCTCCTCCCGTTGTCCCTAGGCTTGGCATCACGAGACTCAGCATCCTCCTTCCCCTCATCTTTGCCATAGTGCTGCTTCTCCTGGTGGCCATCTCGCTCTTGGCTTGGAGGGTGATGAAGAAGCAGAAGAAAGGTGAGGGGACCTGACTGAGGCTGGGCTGGGTAGAGGGTGGGGAGCCAGTGTTGTCATCTGGGGGCTGTCTGGTCTGAGGGATTACCCACCCAGTCTGGAAGGGGCACTGTCCCAAAGGCCACTGAAAGCCGGCAGTCCAAGGCACTGGGGGGCTGGAGCTTTAGGTGAGCCCTGGGAGTCTTGGCACTAGCTGTCTGCCTTGCCCGCCTGTCCCTGTCCTTCTCTTCTCTCTGACTCTTTTCCCTCTCTGTTTCCTGGTTTGGCCCTCGGTGGCAGAGATAGATAATGCC